GTTTATTTACAGTCTGTCCTTGAAAGAAATTAATGTGAAAAGCCCTTTTGCCCATTAGAAATTACTTGTGGATTCAGAGGTTACTATGGGGTCAGTCACCTCAAATCTGTAAGTTTAAAAAAAAGACCCTAGAGTAAGCATTGTAGCACTGTTTTTGTAAGTTGTAAAGCAGCTTCATGCTGTCGGCCATCCCTCTCTCGAAGGTCCCTGTTCTGAGGTCCTTAGGCAAGGATAGACGTGCATGGGTACATTTAAGCAAACATGTTTTATGTTGTGAGATTGCTCTGCTGTCAAGGATACTGCCTGAATTGTTGAGGAGACTAAGGAATCATAAAGAATTATGCGTGCAAGTTAATGCACTCTAGCACACCTTCTTTGTCACTGCCCGGTATAACACAGATGGAGAGCTTTGTTTGCAGACTGTGGTTGAGAACACAAACTTTGGTGCCTGGCAAACCTGACTTTGAATTTGTGGATGTACCATTTGTGGAATTAATAAGTCCCCTTTCACAGTCATGAAAATTAAGTAGGACACATTTGATGTACCTAAATCAGAGCCAGCTGAATGACAGATGCTGAGGGGTGGCAGTCTTGGGCTGTGCTGCTGCTGTCACCGTTGCTGATGTTTTTGGGAAGCCCAGAGAGACTATGCCCTCTTTACAGCCCTCAGCATCACCTAGAAGCTTCTTAACTATGTCGATCTCTGGCCCCACAGCTGGTTTACTGTTTAGGGGTGGGTCAGTGCAACCTGCGTTTTAAGGAGCCCTCTAGTTGACACTCTCTAAAGGCTGATGACCTCTTATCTAATACAAAGTGCTGTGTAGAAATCAGCCACGGTGAACTTGCAACTCTGTTCTGTGTGGAACAGTGAAAAAGTCTGACAAAGCTGATGTTGGGGTGAGGTTATCCTGTGAGAGCAAGAATGCGTTTTTTTCCTCCACACCGGAAAAAAAAATGCCTTTAATTAAATGAAGTGATAGTCAACTTGTAATTATTCAAAGGTAATTACAGAGTCTGTGAATCATGTAGGACATTTACTGCTTCCTAAAATCCCCCATTTAAAATATTTCCATCCACCTCCTCCTTGCTTGCACCTTGTTTTAAAAACAATTAGTATAGAGGTTGAACAATGGTTTACTCATGCTATGAACTGTGTTCATGTTTTTTAAAATTTACATTTCCCCTGGTTTCAGAATGAAACCAAGAAAAGGAAAATATTCATGAACATATTTGCCTAGTCATTTTTAACAAACCATTTCTTAAGCCATTGCAAACTTGGAATAAGTAAAAGCCAAATAAATGAGAACACTCACCCATTACAACTGACAAGTTCCTGTTAGTTACAAGGAGAAGTAACCCAGAAGAATGAGTGCTCACAGCCTACCTACCTTAGATATTCCTGGGAACTGTGGACTGGGCATTTCCTCTTCTGCCTTCCTCTGCCTTGCCCAGGAGACTTGGTGAGTGAGACCCAACTGGGAGTTCGTTGCCCATCAGACAGTGTGGGTGAGGATGAGTTTCTCGCAAAGTCTAGACCGCATACAACTCACCCCACCAGTGACACTCCTGTCGTGTTTCCTCACCTGACTACTTCTCAGTTGAAGGGGGTGGTGAATAAAAAAAGTACATTCAATGTTTGTCTTTCAGTTGGTATCGTATTACATGTCTGCCAATAAAACCTTGGTGTGGGTTAAGTTTTTTTAAAACTAATGAAGTAAAACCTTAATTAACTAGAATCCTTAATTTAACAGGATTTTCTCCCTGTGGGAGGCATGAATTTTGAATCACACAGCAAGCAAGCCAGTGTTAGGAATTTATAAAGTTGGGTTTTCTCGTTATTTCTGTAGCAGTTTTTATTACTTTAGAATGAAAATCTACAAGTGTGGTGGAACCTAACCAATGCTGAGCTGATTGATTTAGGAGTATTTTAGTCATTTTAAACCAGTGTAGTTTTTCTTAAAGATGTGTGTGATGTTGATAAGAAAATTAAGTGAGGACTCCAAGCAGCCTGATAGTTGAGGTGCTTCTATTCACACCCTCACTTTCAAACCTGGAACTGAGAGTTTTGCAATTTAGGGTTCCCTTTTCTGAGACAAAGGTAGCAATTACTTAGAAGTGGGAAAAAACTCTTATTTTATAAAGCAGAACCAAAGGCTGTGAACACTTGCAGGTGAATAAAGGTATCGGCACTCCACAGTTGGAACCAGCAGAATCTGGAAAGCAGAGCAAAGCAGATACCTCCATGGTCCATGCACCAGGCAGCTTTGGAAAAAGAGAAGCTGGGGCGTTAAGGTCACACAAAGTTGGCTGCATGCCTCACCCCTCCTTGCAAACAAGGTGGCTGGAAAGCAAGTTTTTGAAGGGAAAAAAGAAGTTATTTCCTGATCAGCACTCTTACATGGCTCCCATAGTTGTTTGTTAATATTAGATAAATTTTTTTTGAGCAACAAGAGTAATTACCAAAATCCTAAAATAACGGTAAGGAATTCTTGAATGGTCATCAAGTCTGTGATGATGTTATCAGTAAGAAGTTAGCCTGTCTGAAACGTGTGAGATTCCACACTGTTAAAGACTACTCTCTGTAGCCAGCCTCTGGTTTAGTTTTTTCTCAACTTTTTCAGTATGCTCACTGACATAAATTGTTCATTTTGTAGTTTTAAGAGTTTTCTTAAAATCTGATATTGAGATGTCCACCATCTAGGCAAAGTTTTTATATGATTACCTAGGCCGATAATTCTTTATCACACTCAAGTGAATTCAACTAGATAGCTTAGCCTCTCCCACCTTTAGATCACGGATGAGTGTGGTGATTGGGGTGGGCTGTGTAAGAGGGGCAAATGGTAATGGACAAAAAATACAATAAAAAATAAATTTTAAAAAAGGAGCTATGGAAATAGCAGACCATTTTTTAGACGGTTACAATTTTTAAAAATTGTTTTTATATATGTCTTCCAGAGTAAATTTTTTAAAAGAAAATTAGAAGTACATTTATAAAAATATACTGTAAGCATAGTGGCTGTTTTTAATTTTGAAGTATTTAATGGTTAGTGTTTATGTAAAGTACCATACTTTAGTACCAGTAGAGAGAAATACAAGTTCTGTTATAAATGGAGTTCACATTCTAGGGGAAAGGGGAGAAGAGAAAGAACCACTCCAGGTGTTTTATCAGCACATGCTCAGTGGATTTTAGGAAGCCTTTAGAGTAGGTGACATCGGAGTCACTCCAGAGATTTGCTGGTAGTTGAAAATTGGGAATGTGGGTGCGCGGTTGTGAGAGAGGCAGAGGGAATTTGTGTGATTAGAAGGAAAGCATCAAAGTTGAGGATATTACGGGGGACAGGGTACAGGCTGGTGTGACTGGAATACAGACAGGCAGGTGGTTTGCGAGAGAGTCACATTTTCTGGGTAAGCTCATCCTGGAAGAGCTGGTCATCTTTCAGTCAGTAATGAGGGTTCTTGGGTAGAGAACAGGAGGCTGACTTTACAGGGTATGTGTGGGGAATTCTGCCAAGTGGAATGCATGTGGCAGGCCAGCAGGGAGAAAGGGGGATAATTTCTAGAGTAGATCTGTAGTAGATTATGGAGGGGTTTTAATGTAAATCAAGGATTTAAGAGTATTGTGCTCAGGCTGTGTAGCTCAGTTGGTTAGAGCGTCATCCCTGATAAGCCAAAGTGGCAGGTTCGATCCCTGGTCCGGACACACACAAGACTCAACCAATAGATGTATAAATAAGTGGAACAACAAACTGATGTCTCTGTCTCTCTCTCTAAAATCAATCAATCAATAAAAATTGTAAAAAAACAAAATAGAGCTTATTCTGCAGCAGTGAAGAGCCATCAGCTTATTATTTTAAAATATGGTTAGTGATGTGAGAACCAGGGCCGTAGATCGTATCTCTTTCCATGAGAAGGCTAAATTAGAGGGACAAGATGTGGGGAAGGCAGGGAGACCAGTAAGTTGGCTCTTGTCAGAGAAAATAAGAGAAGTCATGAGAGAGCAGAGAGGCCAGGATGTAGGGTCGGGGAGGGTGTCTGGCATCATGGCTAGAATTTCTAAAGGTACATATAATCTTGGCGAGACAATTGAGTATTTCCCTACCTATTTATTCAAGCAATGTCGGGGTAAGAATTCAGTACATAACTAGAAGCACGTCTATGAAGACAAAGTCTTTTATAGTTCTTATTTTCATTATCATATCTCACATGTGCAGTTGGCAGGGAGTAGCTTGTGGCTGATGTGGGCCCAGCCGCTTTCGGTGCAGACGCTAGCTAAAGCTGCACGCTCTTTGGTTTCCTTCTCTGTGTTTTGTTTGTCAGTGAATGCATTTTAACCTTTTTGGTGCCAGGGCTCATGATTTAGGGTACATTTTTATATGGTTTAACTAGAGCAATCAGATTACTTGTAAAATTGGATTTTTCTGTCCTTGGCATTTGAAATGAGAAATAAAAATGATCTTGAGTTTACATGCCAGGACACTCCCAGGAGAATAGACAGAAAAAAGTAAATGCTGTTTTGGGTACCTGGTAATCTTTTAATTATGGAATAAGCCTTTTGATTTTAATCTTCTAAAATGTTTAGTACTGATCCAGGAAAACAGCTTTTTAAAAGTTCACATCCTGCTGACTCTTTCAGATGAAAAGCTTCCACCTCTACTTTATACTTTGTGAGCTGAAAGTAAAAATACCGTTAATCTTGTCTCAGTTCCACCACTGCCTATAAAACACCACTTGGTTTGGAGTCAGTCTTGAGCCGCAGAGGCAGTCACCCAAAGTGAATGCGTAGGTTTCTGGAACCAGAACTGAGGCTGGAGGGTCACAGCCCATTGACTGAGCCTTAATCTAGGAGTAAGTTGAGAGACTGATGCTTTCTTTAAATCTTCTTCCCTGTCATCGCTTCTTCTTGACCTACCGTTGCCTTCCTCAAACATGTATGTATGCACAGCATATCTTGGATACTGATAAACTTTATTGTTTTTGTTATTCTGTGGCATCTGAAACAGCTTGTACAATGAAGACAGAAACCTGCTTCGAATTAGAGAGAAGGAAAGACGCAACCAAGAAGCTCACCAAGAGAAAGAGGCATTTCCTGAAAAGATTCCCCTTTTTGGAGAGCCCTATAAGGTAGTTATTGTATACTGGAAAGTCTGATTGATCATAATATTTAATTCTGTGATAAAAGTGTGTTGGAACAAGGGCCATGACTGTGGAAATAAGACAACTTATTCTAGAGATTGTTTCTGAAAACAAAATACGAAAATTCTCTGAACCTTGTTAGTCAAAATTACCAAAGTTTGTGGTAATGTAGTCTTCTGTATGTAGTAATATTTTCCATGACAGGCTTTTCAACAGGGGAGCTTAGTTTAAATTGCACATGAAATTCTGAGTTACACATTAAATCAAGGTGTTTCTTTTTAAGTGCTGGTATGTAACATCGTTTATTAAATGTTGGTTGTTTTTTTTCTTCAGTATCTAACTTTGCTGTCCTATTTTTCTTTTTCTTTTTTCAGACAGAAAAAGGTGATGAGCTATCCAGTCGAATACAGAACATGTTGGGAAACTATGAAGAAGTGAAGGAGTTACTTAGTACAAAGTCCCACCCTCATCGCTTGGATGCTTCTGAAAATAGGTTGGGAAAGCCGAGATATCCTTTATTTCCTGAGAAGGGGAGCAAAGTTCCATCCCACTCCTTCAACACCAGTGTCCGTCACCAGCCTATTAGCACTCCTGCCTCCGGACCACTTCCTGTAGGTAACGTTAGCCACAATCCAAAGATGGCACAGCCAAGAATGGAATCAATGCCAAGTCTCCATGTCAAAAGCTATGCACCCCCGGACAGCCAGCACCTAACCCAAGATCGCCTTGGTCAGGAGGGCTACAGCTCTGGTCATCACAAAAACGGCGACCGCAGAGCTGGTGGAGACCACTGTAGTTCGATGACAGACTTAGCTCCAGAGAGGGAGCTTTCTCCGTTACTCTCCTCTTTACCTTCCCCAGTGCCCGCTCTGTCACCTGTACATTCCAACCAGCAAACTCTTCCCAGGACACAAGGAAGCAACAAGGTTCACAGCAGTAACAATAACAATAAAGGCTACTGCCCTGCCAAATCTCCCAAGGACCCAGCAGCAAAGGTCCGAGATAAAGAGACCCCTCAGGACAGTGTAGTGGCAGTCTCCAGCCTTGGGGTAGTCCCTCCCCAGCCACCTTCTCAGTCTTTCCCCCCACCTTCCCTCCCCTCGAAAAGTGTTGCAATGCAGCAGAAGCCCACGGCTTATGTCCGGCCCATGGATGGTCAAGATCAGGCTCCTAGTGAGTCTCCTGAACTGAAACCACCGCTGGAGGATTACCGGCAACAGACCTTTGAAAAAACCGACTTAAAAGTGCCTGCCAAATCTAAGCTCACCAAGCTGAAAATGCCTTCTCAGTCAGTTGAGGTGAGTGGAATTTCGTATCTGGGGCAATTCCAGTGTGAAGGAAGATTTTAGATGGAAGTTCTGGAGAGCTCTGGGGGCAAGGGCACTGCTAGCTTTTGGATACGGAAGTTCATTTTTGCCTTAGAATCTTGTTGACCTACAAAAAATCCAGGTCTGAGACGGAGTACTGATGGCAATATTGTTATGTGATTTGCACAGAGATTTTTTTGGAAATCCTTTTATTGAGCCTAATTTACATACAGTAAAATATAGAGATTGTAAGTATGGTTTGCTGTGTTTCAAAAAGTATGTACACCTGTATAACCTACCACCTAATGAGGTAGAGGACATCTCTATCATGGGAAAATTTCAAACAATGTTTTGAGCTGTCTTGCTTTTGTTTTTGGGGGGTTTTTTGTTGTTCGTTTTTTTTCGGGGAACACTGGCATCTTTAACCCTGTAAAGAAAGTAATTTTTTTGGTTCCTCAGCGCCAGTTAGTTTTTCTTGAGATACAAGCCATAAAAAAAGTAAAAACAAGGTCAAAATGTTGAAGGCAAACTGTTAATTTTTAAAGATTTGTTCCTTGTAAACTTACTGTAAGAAACTTTGAAACTAAAGTTCTGTTCTAATATATTTTATTCACCACCTAAGAAAGAAGAGTGAGGGGTGTGCTGGTATTTGAGAGTGAGTTACAGATGTAATACAGAATGTTTTTCAACTATGGCTTTTTCAGGTAAATGAAATACTGTATCTTTTTAAACAGAGGAAAAAAACATCTTTTTTTTGCTCTTTGATAAATGGCAGCATTATGTTTGAACGAGGTGACTCAGAACACACATCCTATCACTGAAATTCTAAATTATTGCTACTGACTCCAAAATTCAGATTAGTAATGTAAAGTAAAATATTTGAAGTGAATTTTTAAAGCTTATTTGTTAAGTTGAAGTCTGTGGTTTTGTTACATCTATTGTATAAACATTCAAATGTGCATATCTATTGCTCAAAGACTTGTGTGCACCGTGACAGCAGTCTTTCATAGTGCTAGAAGGTAAAATTCCTGAAGTTTATATATATATATATATATATATATATATATTAAAAAAAAAGCAGATTCTAGGATCCTTAGCTGGAAAGATAACCCTTATCTTATTTAAGGAGAAAAATCTGTTCCTTGGTGTTGTCAGTTTTTGGTTTAGAAGAGGTTAGGGTTCTGTCTACAGTATGCTCTTGAGCTGGAGTATCTCTAGATGTCTCTAGAATGTGACTTGTTTGGTGGCTGAGGAAAAACAAGAAAGGGGCAAATAAAGCAATTGGTAGAAATGACCACATTGACAGAACTGTGCCTTTAATCCCAGTTTACAAAGATTCACCAGAAGGAGCCATTTATTGAACACGTTGTGCTGCAATGGGATATAGGGGGAAGGAGCAGACTGCAGGCGGGAAGAAACTAAGTGAGGTCTTCCCTCCTCCAAAGGAGGGTCAGCCTGCCTGGTAATTAAGACAGTAAAGAATTTAATAGGATTTGCTTTGCTTTATCTGTCAAATAGGATCTGTTCTATTTCCCTAGTTTAAAGAAAAAACAGATAAGGGGAAAATGTAACATTCTTTAAAAAAACACTGAGCTACTAAAAGTTGCTTGAAAATAATTTTAAGACAAAATAGCAAATATTTGTATTATCTACCAAATGCCCAACCATATACCTAAGCACAGGGTAGAATGCCACAGAACAGCGGGTCGAGACGGGGCAGCCCACACACATGGAACAATTAGAGGACAGTTGAGTACAAACTACTCACTACTAGGTGCTTGAGCAAGTTTCAAGTGTCAGCCTGTAATACTGCGAACCCAGGCAAATTCTGCCAGTAGGCTTCCCAGTAGTCTTTCAGGGAAGAGGATCCTAGTTTACTTTTTTCTTTCTTGGTGGAAAAAAAAGATAAGTAGAGTTGAGATTTCTCCAAGGTCTTATTTAATATATAATTGCAAACATTAGGACTATGTTGGATGGCCCTTCCGTATTTTCTGAGTGGACATGTGAAATGAACAAAACCTTCCATAATTTTGATAATTGGAGAATGGGAGTTTTTTTTTGGCACAAATGCACCTGCTGTCAATAATTTAGTAGATACAAACTTTTCAGCTTTGGCCTGTGTTTGCAGCCAGCGTTCATTTTAATTCTGTGACTCTGTCTGGTTTCTGCTCAGGGCTCCCATGTCAATGACAGCTACAGGGCCAGCCCCCTTGGAGCCTCTGGGCAGTGCTGGTTTGGGGAGCGGGGGATGAAACTGAGGGCTCAGGATGTCTTTCATGAAGAGAATTAGGACCCAAGAGCTTGGAGGGAAAGGGAACTAAATCTGCGATGCATGGGTATCGGTACTCTCTAGCTAGTTTTGGATTTGATTTCGCTCTTTTAACTAAGAGCTCATATTTTGCATACTTAGTGTTAATTTTCTGTTCACACACCCACTTAAATGAGTATATATTTATGTTTTTAAGACAATGTAGATTCAATTTAAAAATCTCATATTGTATTCTAGTGATTCCAAAGAAAGCATAGAAATGCGGGACAAAAAGGGAGTTAAACACAAAGCAGCTGAACTCTGAATATAGAACCAGAATATTAGCAATATCCTGGGCTATTTGTGGCTTTGGGGCCAAAGGACAGAGAATGAGAAGCAGAAGAGGAAGTTGGCTATTGGTAGAGCTGTAAGGAGGGGGCTGGGGTAGCTAAGTGGTTTTTCCTTATTTGCTTAATTTGTCTAAGGCAAGTCAGAGAAGGTTTTCTTTGCCGCTTTTCTGAATGTGAGGGTTTTGTGGTTCATGTCACTGCCGCCCCTCCCCCACTGCCTCCATGAAGCAGTGTTTTACAAACTGAACCAAAATGGGAAAGTCATCTCATCTGTCTGGTGTGTCTTCATACTGAAGCCACACAAGAGTGGAATCTGTCCTTTCACTTCATGGGAAATACTTGGTTTGTATATTTTAGTTGGTTCTCCTAAAAAATCGTGTTCTGCCCTGACTGGTGTGGCTCAGTGCATTGGGCATCATGCCGCAAGCAAAAAGGATGCTCGTTTGATGTCCAGTCAGGACACATTCCTGTGTCTGCAGGCCAGAGGCCGGGTTGGGGCTCATGTGAGAGGCAACTGATCGCTGTTTCTGTCCCTCTCTTTCTCTCTCCCTTCCCCTCTCTCTAAAAATAAATAAATCAAAAAATTTAAAAAACGATGTTCTTTTCTGGGACAAGTCATTCTTACATTTAAAAATTAATCTTTCCTAAAATGCTAGAGGAAAAAAATATCAAAAATTTGACATTCTGACTAAATAAAGACTTGGACCGCAAGAATGTGCACTTGGTTTTCTCTGGGTATCCGTTTTAGTTGTGTGTCAACGGATGAGTTTTAAGATGTATAGCAGCTTAAAACTCATCGGAGGACACAGCCAGTACTTGCTGATCTCATATGGGTAACTCCCAGCTGTAGGGATGCACATCGAAGATATACCTGCCCAAGTGGAAGATTGCGGTCCCTTTATATTTGTTTTTTGTTTTTTGTTGTTGTTGTTGTTGTTGTTTTTTGTCCAAAGGTAACAGGAAAGTGAGAGAAAAATCATGGCATCCTTGTGTGTGTAGGTTCCTGAGCACAGACCTGGGAAAGGAAGGAGTGCTTAGATACAGGATTTATGAGATACGCATTTTATTGAAAGGGAGAAATAGAATAAGCTGAGATAGGTATGTCAAATTGTATGCTGGTCTTAGAAATTAGAATTTAAAAAAATATTTTTTGATTATGATATTACAGTTCCATTTTTCTCTCTTTATTCCCCTCCACCTGACACTGCCCATCCCCCAAGCATCTCCTCCCACCCCCCAGTTCATGTCCATGAGTCATACATATAAATTCTTTGGCTCCTCCATTTCCTGTATTATTCTTAACCTCTCCCTGTCTATTTTGTACCTACTGCTTATGCTGCTCATTCCTGTACCTTTTCCCTCATTCTTCCCCCTTCACCTTCCCTCTGATCTTCATTTCTATGATTCTGTTCCTGTTCTAGTTGTTTACTTATTTGTTTTTAGGTTCAGTTGTTGATAGTTGTGAGTTTATTGTTATTTTACTGTTCATAGTTTTGGATCTTCTTTTTCTTAGATAAGTCCCTTTAACATTTCATATAATAAGGTCTTGGTGACGATGAACTCCTTTAACTTGACCTTATCTGGGAAGCACTTTATCTGCCCTTCCATTCTCAATGATAGCTTTGCTGGATAGAATAATCTTGGATGTAGGTCCTTGTCCTTAATGACTCTGAAGACTTCTTGCCAGCCCCTTCTTGCCTGTAAAGATTCTTTGGAAAAACCAGCTGATAGTCTTAAGGGAACTCCTTTGCATGTAACAGTCTCCTTTTCTCTAGGGGCTTTTATGATTCTGTCCTTATCTTTAATCTTGGGTAATGTAATTATGATGTGCCTTGGTGTGTGCTTCCTTGGGTCCAACTTCATTGGGACTCTGAGCTTCTTGGGTCTCCTGGAAGGCTATTTCCTAGGCCAGATTGGGGACGTTCTCCCTCATTGTTTGTTCAAATAAGTTTTCAATTTCTTGCTCCTCCTCTCCTCCTTCTGGCACCCCATGATTTGGATGTTGGAACATTTTAAGTTGTCCCAGAGCTTCCTAAGCCTCTCCTCATTTTTTTGAATTCTTGTTTCTTCATTCTGTTCTGGTTGAATGTTTCTCTCTTCTTCTCCAAATCGTTGATTCGAGTTCCAGTTTCCTTCCCTTTACTGTTGGTTCCCTGTATATTTTTCTTTATTTCACTTAGCATAGACTTCACTTTTTCCTCTATTTTGTGACCATATTCAACCATTTCTGTGAGCATCCTGAACCAGTGTTTTGAACTTTGCATCTGATAGGGTGGCTATCTGTTCATCATTTAGTTCTATTTTGGAAGCTTTGATCTGTTCTTTCATTTGGGCCATATTTCTTTGTCTCAGCCGGCCGTATGTTGGGAGAGGTAGAGCCTTAGGTGTTCACC